CATAGATTTTAAGGTCATAAGGGACCATTATGATAATTTAGTCTGACCTCCTGCACAACGCAGGCCACAGAATCTCACCCACCAACTCCTGTAACAAACCCCTAACGTATGTCTGAGCTATTGAAGTCCTCAAATCGTGGTTTAAAGACTTCAAGGTGCAGAGAATCCTCCAGCAAGTGACCCGTGCCCCACGCTGCAGAGGAAGGCGAAAACCCCCCTCTGCCAATCTGCCCTGGAGGAAAATTCCTTCCCGACCCCAGATATGGCGATCAGCTATACCCTGAGCATGTGGGAAGACTCATAGAAGGAACGGGGCAAGGGTGTTCGGTTTTGTGCAGTTAGAAAGTTGGCAACCCTAGTTCTTACATGAGTAAGGGTAAGAGGAGGCCATATAAGGTTCCCAACAACAAAACAATGGAAGCACCTGGTTGGGCTTCTGAGGGAAAGGCAGCAGTATAGTAACCTGCAACCTCCTGCATATGGTGAGCCTGCCACACCAATTCTGCATAGCCCTACAACACCTGTTTCGGCTGAAACTATATCCCTGGGTTTCAGCTTCAGCCTATGTTGAGCAGGTATCTGTATCTCTTGCCTGAAGTTCTTGAACTGGCTATCGCTCAGTCTGAAGTTGTTTTCAGCTCAGGGAGCCTAGCATTTGTTAAAACAAAACACGACAAAAATCTTACCAGTTGTAAAATGCTGGATCAGTTTCTCTTCTGAAAGCAGACAGCAGAGGGAACATCTCAGAGGTCTCTCCTGCCTAAAAATGCAGGTTAATGAAAACATTCAGAATAACCCATAGTAGTATTGTGCAATTATCATAACTTCATACCATAATATTTGCTTTTTTAATTTGCTTTCATTCATAGGTCTTTTAAACGAAACAGATTCCTGAGTCTTTCTCTGCTGTCTTTAAACTGTCAATGGCTCAGCCTGGAGCTGCTTTCAGCTCACAGAATCTGTCAGCTTTTTAAAACTTTGTGAATGCAACGGGAATGATTCGGGGAGGAGGGGGGAAGGTTCTTTTTCTTTTTAAACAAAGGTCAGTTTTTTTTCTGAGCTGAAAGAACCACTGTCCAAGCCACAGCCATTTCAGAGACTCAGACTGCAAGACACGAACTGAAACTGAAAAGGTCAATTTTAACAGAATGGATATTTTTAGGATTTTGGGGCTTCTGATGCTTTTAAGACACTTCTGATATTAAAGGCTAAATTTTGCTACTCTTACTCATGTCTGTAAACACATATATTCACACGAGGTCCCAATGTTGCTCTAAATGAATACAATTTGTGTGTCTTAAAAAAAACCCCAACCACACGACCATAAGTGTGCACTCCAAACCAGCATTTCTCAAATGCGGCCACCAGGGGCTTTTCATGCAGTCACGAAAAGCTCTTGGGTGGTGATGGGGGAGGGGGGGGCAATTATCGGCCATTCCCTCCCCCCTTCCCCCCACCCCCCCCGTTGCTCCTGCATGCACTTCCCTGCACCACCTGTGGAGGGCAATGCATAGAGCACAATTCTGATTCCTGGTCCCACGAGCTCCAACCCCAGACTTCAGGTGCGCAGCCCCCAGTTCTGACCACACATTAAGTGTGCTGACCCCTGGCTCCGGCCATGCAGGCTCAACCCAATTGCCCTGGGCCCCCACTACCTTCCCTTGCCCCACATTCACTGCCCCTGGCCCCGCTGCCACTTCCTGTGCCCCCCAGGCTTAATTTGTCCTGGGGCTTGCTGAGAAAAGAGATATTAACAAACATACAAGTATCACTTTTCACAGCAGACTTAGTAGCTAGCTCAGAGGCTGTGATAAGTGGTACTAACAAACATGCAAGTATCACTTATCACAGCCTCCCAGCTAGCTAGTAAGTCTGCTGTGAAAAGTGATATCAACGAACATACAAATATCACTTTTCACGGCATTATTTTTACTACTGAGTCTGAAAAAAAAAACTACATAAATAAATTATAATGATTTGAATGTGTATATGAGCATATTTATTTGCTTTTCCTAAAGTAAGTGTTTTAGGGAAAAGTGTCAGCATGACCACCAGCAAGAGCTGGTGGCCACACTCTGAGGCCACCAAAAAATTTGTTGTGAGAACCCCTGTTCCAAACAGTGATAATACTTAACATTTACAGAGCTTTACCTCTTCAAAGTGCTCAACAAACCTTAACTAAGTGTTTGAGCAAGCATGAGGCCAGTCCTTACCAAACCGCTAATATGCCAAACCTAATTTAATTAGTATGGCCATATTTTTCAGAACTAGGTGCCTGAAGATAGGGAGACGGTGAAGATTTTCAGTTAGATGCCTAACTCCCATTGATTTTCCATGCAGTTTAGGCACCCAACTTCCATTTGTGTCTTTGAAAACTCCCCCTGGTTCCTAAATTCATATTTAGGTACCGGTATCTATGTAAGAGTGACCTCATTTTCAGTGGAGCGAACAAACATAATCCCATTAATTTCAGTGGAGTTTATGGATATTCAGCACAAAAATCAGACCACTTTTGTTTGTTTCAGTTAATAATAATAATGATAATAAAATTTAGCTCTTTTTTAGCACTTTTCATCCAGAGATCTCCACATGTTTTGCAAAGGAGGGTAAATGTCATTATCCCATTTTTACAGATAGGGGAACTTTTAAGTATATATATACTTAAAGTATATATATATGAGCAAGACAAAATGTAACTCTTGGCCTGCAGTTATGAGAGCTGTACATTACTGTTATGTCTTGCTCTTCATATTCACTTGTTTTTTAGGCACGAATGATATGTGAAATAGCCTCTGTGCTTGACAGAGGTTCAGTGTGAGGCCAGTCTGCTTGGGTAGTAGAATGGCAAGCTTGTTTGGAGGCAAAGGTTTATCACTAGAGAACAACATGCTGTCTTCATTGTTCAATGGACGGAGCAGGTTATCTGCAATTTCTTTCAGCACCTGCTTGCCTTGAGAGCTTGTTAGAATTTGGAACTCAAACTCATGTGCCTGGCCTCTCTTTAACCTGGTGTTAATATAAAAATTAATATATCTTAGAAGAAAATAAGTTGAACTAATGAGTCATTGTCAATGTAGCTGTAGCTCTGTCTTAATGTTATGTGGATTAGTTCCATTGGCCCTAACAAAAGTGTTTCCTTTTTCATAAACCTGTGAAATGCTAGCACATCCATCTCTTAAAAACAGATTTTGGCAAACGTGAATAGAACCAAGAAAACAAAATTCTATCAAAACATAGTTCAACTCAGTGCTTCCTTCCAGAATACAGTTCCCTAGGTTTATTCAGAATGTACCAGAAAACAGATGTGAATGGTCTTCCAATGGATTGTCATCAGTCAGGATTTCTTTTTGGCACGCAAGAAAAAAGCCTAAATTTAGCAGATTCTTCACATCCTTGTGTTTCTTTCTCTGTCTGTCATTCTTTGCATCGTCTTTTTCAGTTGAGAGGCTCTGAGTCATTGCCAACATATGCTTAAAAAACCTGAGAAACCTGTGATTAATGGAATCCAGAAAAAACCTGCTAAGATGTATATTTGTCGTTGTGTCTGGAAGGAGAGCTTGCTGCAAACCAAAGAAACAGTGTAACTACAACACTGCACAGTATTTTAGATTAGCAGATTAGATACATCTCTTCTTGGTAGGTAGCACCTTGATTTCGCATAGAGATTTGTCTATCAAGTCAACGAAAGCATGTTCAGGAGGTTTTGTTAGTAAGTATAAAGATATCAATCAAGGATAGAGCTAGTTCATTTTAATGGTGAATTTCTAAAAAAGTTGCAGTCCTTGTGATGGGGAAAAGGAATCGTCTCAGATTTGTAGTAAACATGCAAACAAGTTAAAGGGTCAGATTACTTTAATAAAAATGTCCTTTATTTTTCAATGAAACAATTAATTAGGTTTTACAAAAATAAAATTTTGCCTTCATGCGTTTTGTTAAGGGAAGCTAAAGGTCATTACACAAAAGTGTTTATAACTGCTTCTGCTTTTGCACAGCAATTAATTTGCATATTTGTGTGTATTAAATTGGCTAATCAGATATTTATTTATTAAACTGGATTGTTCTAAGTACAAATGATCAGATATATGTCTATGTGGCCAGTTTTGCCTATGAAGTTACCTGATAATTAGAACAGCTACATGCATATTTTTGAATAATAGTCTAAAAGACTTTGTCCCAAAGAGTTCAACTTATTTCACAGTCAAAATGAACTATTTAGACATTTTTTTTGGCACAGATTCTTCCTCCTATCTTAGTGTTTAACTATAGCAAATGATCCTGATTAGTAGGTGCTAATCTTGAATTAGTGGCTCCCAATTTTTTCCATACTATGACCCCATCTCACAACAGAAGAAAACTTAAGACTCTGTCCCATTAAGAAAGAGGGTGTAATTGTTACCCTTGGACCTGTTAACAATGCCCCAGAGGGTGGCAGTCCCCATCACTTAGGTAAACTGGTATTCTAGGTGTTTCCTTCAACTAACGTCTACAAAATAATGTAAAAACAGTGTCTTTTCAAGATGGATGAAATCTCCTTTTATAGCTTTTGGAGCTGGCAGTTCCAGAACTCAAGTGGTTACTTCATTTTCTCTTGGAATTCCTAACTCCTAGTATACAATTGAGCCAATGTAAAGCTTCAGTTCAGGGGCAATAACACGTGTTCGTCAAGGCTTCAACCTCCTCCTCCAAAAAGAAAGTTAACCCCTGTAAAAACTTGTGAACCCCTTTCTCACACAAGTGAGCAGTTACCTGCACAGGTCATACTACTGAAAATTAATGGAACTACTTTTGCAAGTAACTGCTCACCATCTTGCCCTAAAGAAGAAGAAAACCAGCTAATCTGTATATATCCATTCCAAGGAAATCAACGAAGCCCATAAAAAACATGCATGAAAGAAAAATAATGTATATAATGAAGATAAACTAAGGGCATTTTACACGTTGTGTTTACATGGAGTTATATGTATGTTTCATGACTTGTCTTTTTCTTGTTTGCTTTGTAGTTACTGGCTGACAAACAAGGTCCACATCAAACGACCCAGCACCGGTCTCCTCATGTACACGCTCACTACCAGATTTTGTGATGAAATTCACCTATATGGGTTCTGGCCGTTCCCAAAGGATTTATATGGAAAACCAGTCAAATATCATTACTACGATGATCTAAAATATCGATACTTTTCTAATGCCAGCCCTCATAGGATGCCATTAGAGTTTAAAACTTTACATATGTTACATAACCAAGGAGCACTGAAATTAACAACAGGGAAATGTGTACAGCAATAAAGCACATGTAAAGTACAATATAAAGTACAGAATAGTAACTTCATCATAAAGATGTTGTGAAGGCAATGGGATCCAACAGAGGATATATTTCAATACCCACTAAGCCATTGGGAAAAGGAAGCGTACCTGAAGTCCATGACCAGCTGATATTATACCTGTAAAGTGCTATAAAACTAAGATAACTTGACTGCAAGGGTTCAAGTAAGTGCCACTTTCACTAAGAACAAAGCTTGAATGTAAAATCAGTAGTGTTTACAAGAGCCAATGATGCATTCATCGTCAAAGAGGAAGCAAATATCCATTTAATGCTGACTTGCCACCACAAAGTTGAGCAGCTTATAGAAGAAATACCCAGAAGATGGACTCTATCCTTGGGGAAATAAAACAGCCTTTGGCATCAGAAATCATGGTGGAATTAGTGGAGAAAGTGATGTCCATAAGATTAAATAGATCAAGTAAATGCCTTCAGTCAGGGGACTGTCTGACCTTGTATTATAACCTCATTGTTTTTGTTGGTGTTTTTTCTGATTGCTGTTTTTTTTTTTTTTTTTTTTCTTATTTGGGTATTGGAATCCTTAAAGGATTTTATGAGGATGATAGGAACAGTTAAAAATAAAATCTTCAAAGAGTTGTATTTGAAGAAATAAGTTCTTATTGGGGGGAAATCAAATACTTAAAAAATATTTATGTTGTATCCTGCTGTTGCACAACTCTAAACCTCCAGATTGCTTTTTTAACTGAAATGGTCAGTGCCAGCTAAACAGAACCACTATGAGATCGGTAATTTTGAGCCATTCTTAAGGAAAACGTTCTGTTACTTGCCAACTGGGAGGACGTACTTAATAAAAAGGTGCCCTTACATTTGGTACCAAAGATTACACTGATTTTTTTTGTATACATGGAGAAAACGTACATTTAGTACTGTGTTGCTGTGCTGCTGAAGGAAAAATGTTTCTGGGTATTGTTGTTCACTGGAATATATGTTCCCTATTCTGTTTGAATGAAGAGCCTCAAACAAATTCCCTAAGCTGACTTTGCCTCAAGTGATTTGTTCTTCATAAATATCCAAATTGTTTTTATTCCATGCACTTAAACATGTGAGTGTGATTTTTATTTTCATTGGAGCAAAATTGATATTTTCAATTTTTTAATTATTGTAATAAAAACATTATGGCATAGTCAATGGGAGGTTTTAATTCTTTGGAATCTGTTTGTTTTCTTTTAACCAAGATGACAAAGAATTAATGTAGCAAAATTTTGCTACATGTAATATCCCTGCCATATTGGAATGGGTAAAAAACTGAATGGAAAATAAAGCATAAACTGAACAAAGTCCTTTTTAAATCTAAATTTCTCATGGTGATGGACAATATACCTGTCTTGTATTAGTCCAACTTGCTGATAAGTAACTGAAAATAGCACATTGCTGTATTATTCCCATATCAGTTCTTTTCTTCCAAACCTCATTCATTCATTTTATTACTCAGAACAACTGTTCTTGTCCTGTACTTGTCCTTGTCCAAGAAAGAGATTTAGAAGCGGTAGAAGGAGTATCTTCAGGATCTAGTACAGAAGAGTCTGAAGTACCATTTCTTAGTCTGTTCATATGACAGACTTGGGTAATTAGAGTGATTGAATGCACTGGAGTTAAACAAAATCAGAATACTTCCTTTTTTAGAATGTGTATGTCAGGAAACTTAACACCAGATACATGAGCAAAGATGAACCTATTTAAAAGGGGGAAGAGCTAGTTTAAAGAACTTTACTCACACCTTGGTAGAGGAATGACTGTAGCCAAGTGAAGACCCCTCGATCCCAATTTCTGGTCTTGGACATGATGGTTCTAGTGCAATGAGCTCCGTATCATATTTTCACTCTGATTGCCCCCTAATGATAGTGGAGTCTGAAGCCTGATTATGTCTCCAGTCACGTCAGGCTCCAGAACTAGCACTTAAGAAAGTTCTAGGAGAGTATCTTTGCCCTTTTGACTAATTCCTCCTTCCTCCCCCTGCATCTATACAACACATGGTGGGTTTTAGCTGTAAAGGACAAATCTTGTTCCTGATTCGTGGGTCCAGAATTCATTATGCATGGCAGGGGAAAGTCTATGATCATGCAAGTCCACTAACCAGACTCCCTTCAGAGGAGGCCACAGAACTTATTACTGCAGCCAACAGATTGAGGTTTGAAAGCACAGCTGTCCATCTCATAAACATAGTCAACATTTCCCCCTCGCCCTCCACCAAGCTCTCCTGCACAACACTTGTTTGCTTTGGCTTTGTGCTGGGGTCCAAGATTTGGCCTTACATGATCAAGGATTAATACCTTTTTTGGTTTTATTCCAGAAATCGTAGGGGAATCACTTAGAGCTACTTGGCAGCACTGAATGTAACATATTTAAATTGGGTTTGAAAAACTGCAAAATTGTGTAGGGTAAATATTAAAGGGTTGCATTTTAAAACAGATATGGGTGATACCGTATTAACAGTAAATATGCATGGAGGTCGTCTTGTTCCACCCATTATTTTTTATAGAATGATTGACTGTCCACTGAGAGATTTACTGATACCCAGCTCAGAGCAGCTCAGAGTAGTGCCTTGTTAGCTTATTCACCTACCTTTATTACTACATACTTCATGGTCTGTGAATTTGGTCTCTGTGTTGAGATGGCAGTCTACAGTCAAAAAAGGGCTTCCTTCCAAAAAAGGGATTAAAACTGTGTTTTTCTGCCCCATCTCAGGGAACTTTTTAATACTCCAATATGAGTTCAATCAAGATAGAAAAAGCTCAAAGTAGATGGACGTGCTTTATTTCCCATTGCACAAAAAAAGAAAAATAAATGGCTTTTTTAATAGACTTAGGGAAACCAGTGAGACCTAGAAATAGAAAGGTAGATGAGATTTTTCTGTTCAGATTTAAAATTCCATAGATGAAGATTGGGGGAAGTAGGCAGAATATGAATGAGTATTTAAAAGATATGCATGAGTCTATTTTGAAGTGTTCATATTTATTTCTGTTGATGAAACTGACCCCAGTGCAAAAATCACAAATAAACCCAGTAGCTCAATGTAATGTAGGGAGATTCTTTGGTAAACGGAAGAGGGTGATTTCCAGTCCTGTGGCCATTACTGCAACCATCTTCTCCATGGTCCTGTATCTCCCTTTATGGAGGTCAATATCCGGTAAATCTTCTCCACATCAGCAGATCCACGGATGCCAGCCCATCCGTGGCCTGCCATGCCCTGCTCCTAAACACTGCTGCATGGGGATTTCAGAGCTGGTCTCCATAATGTACATGGCTGCCCCTGGACCTCCATTCAAGTTCCCCAAATTCTCCACTCCCTTAACAGTGAAATCACACTGTTTCCACTATTTGACCCTCTTTTTCCTGTGGAGGTCAGTGAAGGATTGGCCTCATAGAACCTATATGGAGGTTAAAATAGGGCATAGGACCTGTGCAGGGGAGTGGATTTCACTGTGTGGTTCTTCAACCCACAGTACAACAATCTAGTTCAAATCTGCAAGGCAGCTTTGAATGAGTTCTGTTGTTTTCATTTCCCCATACTGCTTACAGAACTGCTAGTATAAACATCCATTGTAATAATTAGTGCCCAACACTTATCGCTGACTTATGGTAACTAGATAAAATAAAATGAACAAGTAGCCCGCTTGTTATAATGATGCCTGATTTGGTGGGGATATGAAATAGGGCATCAGATTAAGCTGATTATGAATGAGGAATGGTCTCAAATGACTGACTTCTTCCTACACAAGATGTAGCAATCACCAGTAATGATTCTTGCAAATATGTTTAAAAAAGAATAATAATTGAAAGCAAAATTCTGGAAACAGTCTGTTATGTTGCCTGAATCTTGAGGCAGATCTACAGTGAGGCAAAGTTAGCAGAGGAATTTGTTTTCATTCAGACACATTTGTTGTAAATGATTTATAAACTAGTATTTTCACATTTCTTTGGCAGGGACCCTCTCTCCTTTGGTTTAATGGAGAATAATAGATAATATATTTTCTTGTTAAGTTTGCAGCTTTGGGACAGTTCTCCCTCTCCCACCCCCCACGTCTAACATCTACTGAATGTTTCAAACCTTGAAGGGGTTTGGGCAACTTGACTTGTTTTGCAAACCGAACCACAATTAATAAATCCCACCCTGAAATAAACGTCTCATTAAAAATAAAATCAACACACTCGTGAGGATGACGATTTGTTTGAATTGACTGCAATTTGCAGATAAATACCTGTGGGCTCAGTACAATTTTTTTCTTTTAGGGTCTGATCCTGTGAAGTGCTAAGTACTCGTTACTCTCATTGAGTTCACTGAGAGTTGAAGTGTTCAAAACAAATAGGCGCCTAGCCTCTTGCAGGATTTATGCTTTATATTGCACATTAAGTTTTATTGTTTTTAAGATATGTTGCTTTGTGTAGGGAAAAGCACAATTGTTCTAAATGTGTATATAATAAAGGAAGAGAGTTTATGGAGTAGAGCATTTCTGCACAGTACTATTGCTACTGAGCATTCACAATACCATTTGTGTAGTTTAAAGTGTTAAGATGTATTCTGTCAGGCTTGTCCTCTAATGTTATTTTGTGTACAGCATTTGGGTATTACTGTTTTATTATTTGTATAACTGTAAAATAAATTAAACTTTTTTTTCATTTTTTCTGTTACTTTCTTATACTGTGTTCCTATGTACTACAATCAGCCTTGAGTTTTATTTTCACAGGTTTTCAAATTAGTCTTAATATGTTTCAATACCTTTAAAATATATCATATGTCAGGATTTAAGGGTTAGAGAAACTAATCAAACATGGCCAGATTTAATATTTACAGACACTTTAGAATGTAACAGGGATGAAATCCATAGGGTTATGTAGGAATTAACGGAGTTCTATAAAAGTTACTGTAAAAACCCACAGAGTTAATAGCAAATGTTATCATTTGCCATTGATTTGTAAGTTATACTATAGAATCAAATAGAGAATGTATATCCCTGCTATGGAATTGTATAGATTTTTTTAAAAAAACATATTATAAAAAATACTGTTCTGTAATAAATTTGATCATCTGTTTCCATAATGGTAGATTCAACTTGCACACACTGCTGAAACCTGGGCATATTTGAAAAAGTCATGAAAGTCAATATTTTGCAGAGCTCCACTGTTTTCCACTGCATAGAAGTCAGACACCCTGTTTTCCTGAATCCAGCCCATAGTCCTATAATATTACTGGGATTGTTTAAATAATGGTCAGTTTTTATAGGGGCAGTGTTATTGCTTTAATTACCTTCCACTATGAAGATGTAAGCATACCAGATTATATACAACTGCACCATGATATATTCTTGCACTATAATGAAGGGCTACTTATGCTGAGAATTCTGATCTGTTTTCTTGCATAGTTCTCAACAATGGCCTTGTCATCCTCATCTTTTTCTGCTCATTGTATTCCTTCTTGTCCTCTATTTTCTCATTCCAAAAACCTATATATATGTATATTTAGCATTGTTTAATTGCTTCCTCAGAATCCTAAGAAACCCTGGTTAGCAAGAATATAAAAGACTATTTCTAAAAGAATAATGCAAAAGGGAACATAATTTTCATGTGTCTTTTTTATGGCACCCAGATACCATGGTATTAGATACCAAAGTGGAAAAGCTGTTGGTGAAGAGAAAAGAAATATTTATTTTCTAGGGACTAAAATTTGCCTAAGGAAAAGTGTGATGAGGAACAAACAGAATGTCAAAGACACCCCCTTTGTTGATCCACAGTTTTTTTTTACTCTGGATCATATGGAGGACCAGTCTTACTCTCATTGAAGTAAATACTAGTTTTCCCTGAAGATCAGTGATAGAATATGGTCTTACTGGCCAAATTCTGCTCACAGTTACACCAGAATAAATCTGAAATAACTCCCGTTGACATAAACTCCATTGATTCTAATTAATTGATTAATTCTATTGTTGTAACTGAGACCAGAATCTGGTGCCATGTGGTTACTAAAATGAAGAAAGTGTCTATTAATTAAAAGTCTGCCTCTTCATGGAGAACTCGTCATGTTCTAGTGTAGTGCATGGTCTAAAGGTTATTGGGACTGCTCGCTTTCACTGGTTTTATACCAGTAAAACTGCAGTAGAAACAATGGAATTGCTCCTGATTTAAATTAATGTAAGTGAGTGTGGAATAAGAGATTATGTTGGTCTTGAAATAGATTGGGAACCAGAACGCAATAGCTTTGGATTAGGGCAACATGTATATCAAAGACTCTCAAGAACAAATTCAGCCCTAAAACAGATCTTTTGACATTAGATCTGATTAGAGATCCTTAGGAATTTTCTTTCTAATTTTTTTTTCCAGTGAAAAATGAGGTTTCCACAAAGTTGATGTTTTCCATCGGTTTATTTATTTTACCTTCTCCCCCTCCTCAATTGAGAAAAACTAAACAAAACATTTAGTTTCAGGTGAGTTTTAGCCAAATCAAAATATTTTAGTTTGTCAAAGCAAATGGATACATTTCAAGTCAGTTTGACATTAAACTGTGTCCATCTGAGTGGCCACACTTCCTCATGGGAGTTGTAGTTTAGGTACCTCATGTCCCCATTCTTACGTATGGCCTTGGCCTGACACATTTCCCATGATGTACTGTGACTGCCTCTCTCACTGAACTGCCTTGATGCGTCATGGGAATCCTATGATGGTGGTATATCCTGGGAGATGTAGTCCAGACAGAGAGCCCATCAGGAGAAGGGGGGGCATGAGGTACCCAAACAATAGTTCCTATGAGGCAGCTCAGGCAGATGTAGTTAATGAACCAACCCAAAATAAAATATTTCAATTTGGGAAAGTTGAAATGATTTACTTTGATCATAAATATGTATTATATTTTTAAAACTAAATATTTCAACATTTCCAAACTGAAAAAAATCAGAACTTTTCTTTCTGCAAAAAGGTTTGGTATTTTGACTTTTTCCATCCTGATTTAGGAAAAAACAAATGTCAAAATATTAGATTTTCTCACAAGATGGCATTTCCAATTTTCTACCAGCCCTACTGCACACACCAAGGTTGATTGTTGCATTTAGAGAGTTCCTTCTGTGGGAGCATCCTATTATAGCCCTGCTTTAGTGTGTCCTACATTGAGTCATTCTTCCATGAATTAGAGCAATTTTTAGGCCCTCACCATTCCTGGAATTTTTAATTCCATCTGTTGGTATTATGCATCTATGAGTGTCGGGGAAACAGCCTAATAATAAACAAAAGGGACAAATTCATTGCTAGTGTAACTCCATTGAAATGAAATGCATGCATGTGCTATGTACTGACTACAACCTCACCTTACCTGGACATGCCACTGGTACACACCCATTGCTAAAGGACAACGCAGGGTGATTCCAGAACTTCTACCTATCTAGGAAACCCCATTCATTACACATTAGAGTTTAAAATCCAATGGACAAGTTATAGAACAGTGTAAAGAAGACAGAACAGAGCAAATAATCTGTCTGTATCTGCCAGGCGCTTAGAGTGCTCAGTGTAACTGAATTGGACACTTGACCTAAAGTTAATATCCCCTTGGGAATGTACTTGAGCAACACCAGGAAGTGCAGAGTTCATTAGCTGGTAGGGAGCAATGTGTTGTGAGAGAAGCAGAGCATTAGGTACAGCTGAGCCTTGATTAGGGGGAAAGGCATCCCTTACTAGGCGGCAGGTCATCTCTAATCATCAGTCCTATAAAGGCAGCCAGCTAGCAGCACAGGAGTCAGCAAACAGATGAAAATGGGAGTTTGAGAAGATGGGAGGGCAAGGAAGAAGAGAAGAGAGGAGTGGTTAGTCCTACAAGAAGAGGGGAAGAATCAGTGACAATAGCTAGTGTTCAGAGCCTCAGGAGGATAGAGGATGACTCTCAGAAGATTACAAGTGAGAACAGAAGACAAGAAGAGTTGCAGCCAGAAAGATCAGAAGGGGGAAGGCCAGAGAATTGCACCAACACCAGGAAAAGGCAGGTCTACGTGGCTGGGGACTCCCTACTAAGAACAGGTAGGCCTGTCACCAGATCTGTTCCAGAGAACAGAAGGGTGTGCTGTCTGCTTAGAGCTAAGATATGGGATATGGACTTGAAGAGGATCCTAATGGGAGCAGAAAGAACCCACTGATTGTCCTTCATGTGGGAACAAATGATACGGCAAGATTCTCACTAGAACGTGTCAAGGAAGACTGTGCCAGGCTGGGAAAGATGCTTAAAAAAATTGAGGTTCAAGTAATCTTAGTGGGATTCTCCCTGTCCCTATAGGATGAAAGTGAAGGTTTTAAGAAAGATGAATTCAAACAGGAACAGGTGCAGAGAAGGGCTACTAGGATGATCAGAAATGGAGAGCCTACCTTATCAGAGGAGATTTAAGGAGCTTGGTATTTTTAGCCTAACCAAACAAAGGTTATGGGGAGATATGATTGCTCTCTGTAAATACATCAGAGGAATGAACACCAGGAAAGGAGAGGAGTTATTTAAGCTAAGGGTCAATATTGACACAGGAACAAATAGACATAAACTGGCCACCAGTAAATTTAGACTTGAAATTAGATGAAGGTTTCTAGCCATCAGAGGAGTAAAGTTCTAGAATAGCCTTTCGAGGGGAGTAGTGAAGCAAAAAACCTAAATTGTTTTATCAAGACTGAGATTAATCAATTTATAGAGCGGATGGGATGATGAGATTGCCCACTACGGCATATGGCTCATCCATGACTACTATTAGCAAATATCTCCAACAGCTGCAGATGAGACACTAGATGGTGTGGGCTGTGATTTACTGTAGAGAATTCTTTCCCAGTTGTCCAGTTGTTGAGTCTCACCCACATGCTCAGGGTCTAACTCATTACCATATTTTGGGTTGAGATGGAATTTTCCCCCTGCTCAGATTGGCAGAAACCCTGTGGGGTTTCATCTTCCTGTGCAGCATGGAGCACAGGTCATTTGCTGGTTTGAATTGGAGTAAATGGTGGATTCTTTGTAACTTGAAGTCTTTAAATCAAGATTTGAGGACTTCAGTAACTCAGCCAGAGGTTATGGGTCTATTACAGGAGTAGGTAGGTGAGGTTCTGTGGCCTGTGATATGTAGGTCACAATAATGATCATGATGGTCCCTGATAACCTTAAATTATATGAGTCTAAAAGTGCTCTGGGTTTCTTTGGCTCTGGCCATCTCTGATGGTCCTGCTATGTTCTATTCAGTTAGTCCTACTTAATTTTTGCCATCATCCGTAGCAGTGTTGTCAACTTAGTGACTTTGTCACTAGATTTAGTGACTTTTTCATTTCCCTAGTGAGAAAAGAAGTGTCAAAGTGACCAGTGACAAATCTAGTGGCTTTCACTGCCAATTACAGTGACATTCAGAGACAGAAATCACCAATATCTATAGCAGGGGTCGGCAACCTATGGCATGCATGCCAAACACGGCACGCAAGCCAATTTTTAGTGGCACACTGCCGTCTGCCGGACCCGGGCAGACAGCAGCGTGCCACTAAAAATCCGGCCCGGCCCGGCCTGCTCTTTTCCGCCCACCGCTCTCTCCTTGCAGGGCAAGCAAGCTTCCCCCGCCTCTTTCCCCAGTGTGCTGGGTTCCTGCCCCTCCTTCTCACCCTCCCTGCGGCCGATCAGCTGATGG